ATTACACGAATGAGAGAAAATGCTATTTTTCTTTTGAGATATTAGCTAATCTTCCAAATGAGATAGGAGCTCTCAATTTATAGTAGGATGGGTTAAGGTTATGATTACTAAATTTGTGAGTTGGTGGGATTATCCATGCAAATCCTTCTTTATGTCCCATTGTCCACCTTCTAGAGCAATTTACACGATTTGGTGTAGGGATTAGACACGTGGAATCACTCTAGCTCCTAGCTGGTCTGACGCGCACCCACTGCCCTGATAGGAGCATGCTGTTCATGTCATTGTGTGATGTGGCTGCCTCTGACTGGCTGCGGACCTACCCAAGCTCTGACTTTTTATATTGACTAGGTCTTGTGTCAGCCCTACTTTTTCAAGCATAACAAATTCATTTAGGAAATGGATGGAAAATGACCTAAAGAATAAGCTTCCAGTTATTAAAGTTTAAGATTTAACATAATTAATTCTTATGATTATGAATTGATTATATATTGATGTGATTAAGCCATGTACTAATGTTTACCCATTAGTTAGATGATCTTTGAAAGATATAACGGTCATGATGTGAATTCATGATTAATGTTATGAAATGGCATGAAAATGCAATGTAATACATGTTTTAAGATGATGAATGTGAGCAAGAGGTAATGTAAATGGAATGATAATCCATAGATGAATCAAAAGTATTAAGCTCACTAAAATATGTATTTACATGCCATAAGATGTTAGAGACGCATATAGACATGATGGAAAACGCATACCTGTATCCACGTATACTGGTTGACGACAGATGAATATATGCTTTAGATGCTAAATAACGCGTAAGCATGCCTCCCGATGATATGAACTCTAGATGATATGAAGTGCTTAAGACGCTAAGAAATGTCCGATCGGCTAGACGTTAAATGATTCATATGCATTTAATTGCATTACATGAGTTATGATGTTATCTACATCATGTGAGGATCTATACTCATGTTAGATGATATTTAGATATTATATCATGACATGTGATGTGATGTGCGTGTACTATGTTTACATACTTATTTGTATGTATACACATTGATGTTTATATAGCCATGGGATAAAATCATGAAAAGCATATGAATTAGTAAGAAAAATGAAGCATACCTAGATGTAAAAGATAAGTGGTGTTTTAATAAATATGCTTAATTGAAGGTCAAATAACACATTTAGAATGAAATGGATCATTCCTTATTGAGCGATTAACGTTCACCCTTTCATGCTGATTGCTTTGTAGGTAGACCAGAAGCGAAGGATGCTAGAGATAGCGGGGCTACACGTGAGGGGAGATGATTTATTGTCATCTTGATGTTTTTATCTTGATGTAAATTATGTAAATGATAAATGTTTGTGAAACACCTTTGGAAGCTTCCACCTTATAAATATGTTTTGATTGTGTAATTTCCAGATAAATTCTTAAAGTTTTTGAAATTATAAGTTTGGATCCTACATGACATCTTATATGAATGTTTTGAATATTATTATTACTATCCTTACACAAGTTTTTTCTAAATACAACTCATTCCTTGGACATGTATCCTTTGGATTCTCATTAAGGCATATTCAGAGGATACCTGACTGGAGATGAGTTTTACAATGAGCAAGCATGTGGCTTTCATCCTTAACCACAACTTTGCTTGGACAATGTAAGGAGCATGTTAGATAAGGGCAGGTGGCATCAATCATGGGGTTGTTGAGCATTGGGGCGCCAAGCACACAATCAAAAAGACTTGCAAGTCTGGGCACTTGCAAGCTTCCACATGTGCACGTAGGCATGCATTGGCATGGGCATAGGGGTGTCCATGAGCAGATCAAGCAGTCGCGGGATAGGACATACACAAGTGGGTAATGCAAGCAACAAGCTGCTGAGCACACGCATAAGGCAAGCAGCAGTATGCATGGTATGCATGTGGGCATGTGGGCATGTGTTAGACTAATGGGAATGCTTAGAAAAAAGCTAAAGGGTTCCTTATACAAATGTTGTGGGACAATTATGTGTGTCTAGATAAAACATGTATAATTATCCAACTGCTTGGTAATGGTTGTATAGGTTGTAATTGCTCTTGTAATTATCACATAGTTGCCTTGCCAATTTGTATATAAGGCAAGCAGGAAATTTTGTTCAAGGGGAGAGAAGGGGGATATGTGTGTGTATGCCATTGTTGCAACTTGAGTGTTGTATCTGTGAGTGCGGGATTAGATTATAACAATGGGGAAACACAATGGGAGCATTCTTGTTATCCTTGTATTCTTTATACTTAATATAAGGTTGGGAGCTTTTCCTGTATATTGTGTTGCCTTGTGTTTCAGTAGCCTCTCTTGTATATTGTTGCTATAATTTGTGGTAGGAATATGCACATTTAGGAAGGCTGACAAACATTTGGCATGCTTGTCCTACGCAACACTTGGAAGAGAGCTTAGGCCCTGTGACAGTGGCGCTCAAAGTCGGTTTTCTCTCAAACCATTTTATTCAAACCTCTCTAAAATCAATCCAAACTTGTTCCATGGAGAATAGAGGTATGTTCTGAGGACATACATTTGATTGATCTCTCTTGATAAAGTTAGACTTGATTGATTCTATGCTTGAATGGGTAGAGAACTTAAGTTAGACAAACCTCATTGAAATCAAATTAGGAGGATATGAACACTTGATAGATGAGTTGTATAGTAGCCTGAAGATACTAAGTAAGGAAGATGATGAATATCCTAGGTATACTATGAAATTTAGGTTGAAAAATGTTGAAAGGGTTGTAACCCCAGATGAGTTAGCAAGATGGTTGGATTGTGCAAATTAAGGGATGATTGATCCTTCCAAAAACTAGAGTGCTATTAAGGCATGGGCTACTGATCAGGGAGATATGATCCTCATACTTCAAAATCGACAAAGCTAATAGATCCTACAATGAGAATATTTCATAGGTTTGTTACATACACTCTCAGTGCCAAGAGAAGGATGAATACTCAAGTATCAATAAGGGATGTAATGATACTAGAAGCAATAACATCAAAGAAGAAGATCAACACCCATGTTCTTTTGATAAAGAGGTTGGAAGAAATAAGAAAAGACTCAGGTGAAATTTAGTTTGGAATGTTCATATCTTTCATAATCAAGAAATTGGATATAAACTTGACTGAAGATGGTGAAGAAAAAAGAGTACAGTTCAATGACAATCATCTAATGGATGGTCACATGCTGCAAAATATGGGCATGATGAAGTCCAAGAAAAAAAGGTGAGTGGAAATTGATCTCATATAAAGGGAAAAAAATGGACTTTGAGTCCTCAAGTCAAGAAGAGTTAAGAAAGAGACCAAGGAGTGAAGCTAGACCTAGCTCCAAGGCTCCAAGTCAAGCTGATGAAATAGTGGAAAGAGTTGCATCACATTTTGATGCAAAATTTGAAAGATTGGACAAGGCTGTGACAGACAAGTTTCTACTTCTGACTAATCAAATTTCCGAAGTCTCCAACAATAGTCATGCCCTCAAAGCCTCTGTGCTATCATTTCCACCTCCTCAACCATAGCCAAAATTCTCTTTCTTGAGTCTATCCCTAGTGTCCTTTTATTTTCTTTTATATTTTACTCTCTATATATTGCACATGGGAAATATATGTGTCCTTTTTGACACTTGAACTTGTAATGATGCTTACTTTTGAATTCTCATGAATGATATGATATTATTTTATACTTAAATGTTTATTTTATGTATTTGTTTTCATCACTCCTATATGTCATTGTGTTGATGTGTTGATTACAATTGCTATATTTTTGCTTAAGGACAAAAAGGGGGAGAGATAATTGAGTGTTTGATGTTGAAGTGTTAAATTTCTTCTTTTGATCTTCAAAGTGAGTGTTACACTCTTTTTTGAAAAAGAAGAACGGATATGCTTGGTGTAAGGGGGAGCAATTGTGCTCATCTTGTTTTGGGATATGCATATCCTAAAGGGGAGCTTTTCAATTTTTGTTTTTGGCATGTTGTGTATGGTGTTATATTTTCATATGAAACTCAATTTTTTTTATTTTTTTTTTTTTTGTCATCAATCAAAAAGGGGGAGATTGTTGAACCCTCATATGTTCTGATGTGTCAAAACTAACCAAAGAGTTGATTGGTTATCTAACTAACATGCTAAGGTATGAGAAGAAGTCATAACTAAAAAGAAAATGCAGTTTTCCTATTTCGGGGATGAAATTCTTATAAGGGGGGAGAAATGTAATACCGACATTCAAAAATATGGTAGGGATTATTTTATAGTCATAGTAAATATATTTAACTAGTTTTATAGAGGAATTCCATAAAATTTTCAATAAAAGTAAAATGGTCTTTTTACTCATAACTAGATGAAAAAGTGGGAAGTGAAAATGACCAAGAACATGTGTTAAATCCATTGAAAGTGAGGGTATATTAGTAAATGCGCGTATTGTTGGAGTAGGTGCCCTAGAGCCAATCAATTATTGTGGAATTGACTCTTTGTAATAATGTTCATTAATCAATAAACGGCATTTTATTCTATATCGCGTAAATCATTATTATTGCAATAACTATTGATATATGTCCTTAGAATGGTAGAACAGTGACGAGAGTATCAAGTGTTTCAAATCTTGATAATGAGAACCTTATGAGCACATATGGTGGCCATTCTTGAAATGCCATAGCCCTAGTATTATTCTGAAGTAAGGGCACAGATAATACGGTAAGGCTATCATAGTGTTGAACGACCCTATCGAAAGGTAGTGACTGATCTCATTTGTCAAGGTTGTTTGGTGACAACCTGGTGCAATACTTGGGTGCTTGTTGTAGGCGAGTACACCGCAGCAAGTCCACTAGATTGACCCATTAGAGGATTCCATATGGATGGTAACCCCAGTGTCTATGGGACAAATCCTCTAACGAATGGTGGTGCATGTGATCCTTAGACTTGAGATCACCAAAGCACCTTGTGCACCGATTGGTGTAGTTTGACACTAGCCTAACNTTCTGTTCGATCATTCTTGTTGGAGAAAGGAGGTTCTTTGAATCTTTTAAAAAAGTTTGACATATGAAGGATATTTGAAATTAGATCAAACCAGTGCAGCTGTAAATATGTAGTGGAAATGCAGTCTTGTTGTATTTCACCTTTTACTACTCTTTGATGGCCATCCTTAGAAAAGAGGTCCATCAATAAATATAGAAAAACTTTCAAGATGAGTGGAATCAAAATGCGTCATGATTGCTGGATCCTATTATGCCAGGATATTTGTGTGGCTAATGGTTTAGGAGTAGAAAAGTCTTGAAACTTTCTTGTTTAAATTTTAGATGTTCAAGTTTAAGACTTAAAAAGAAAATATGCTTTCCTAATTGTAGCAAGCTTATAGTTTTGCCAGAATTAAATGTGGTTAACAGTGTCTTTTAATGGTCACGGGAATTAAGATTTTTTCTTTTAAGATCCTTATATGGTTCAACCCGATTCTTTATGATTCCTTCAATTTATTTATATATTTTTAAGTTTCTGTGCGTGGTTACCTTATTCAATTTGCTTTTTATTCCTATTGCAACTTCAATCACCTTGCATCTCTGCATTAGTGTTTGGTATAGATCTGGATGATCATTTGCAATGTCTTCTTAGGAAGAGCAAACAGGTTTTACAAAGGTTTTTGATTACTTGTTGAAGTTTCAAAACTAAAAATTCCTTTAAATCCCAGAACCACAATTGCAGCAAGTGAGCCGGTAGGACAGATGACAATCTTTTACGGTGGAAAGGTGAATGTCTATGATGACATGCCTGGTGATAAGGTTATGAAGCTGATCTTTTTCTTGTCAAACATGCAATATGTGTCATCATGAATTGGCTATCTAATGTTATTAAGTGAATTTCAGGCACAAGCAATAATGCAGCTTGCTTCAAGCCCACTCCCAGTAGCACCATCAGAGGGAAATTCAGCACTATGGTCTGGTCCATGCCACTTGCAGCCTACAGGTATCAAAGTTGGCCCAAGTTCTCCAGTGTTGAACTTCCCAACTTTACAAACAGGTAGATTTGGTGGCAGGGTCTGGGGTTTTCATTATCTTTGTTTACTTAATATATATACACTGTAAGGGGCTTTTGATCCTCAGATGAGAACGCTATATTTTATGTTGTGGCTATTGTAGTAGGATAATCTTGTGTTAACATGCTTGGTTTTCTTTGCAGTGAAAGTGGCAGAAAACTGTCAGCTTCCCCGGGAAGAAAGTTACATTTCTTGCGAAGACAGCCACGGTAAACACTTCTATAAGACATCTCTTTAATTTCTTGTTCATTTGATTGGTGGCATTGTCCACTCAATACTTGATCAGCACTTTGTCATCATGCTCTGTTTAGATCATCTATGTTCTTTTGTTTTTGCTCTTTTATTTATTGATTCAGGAGACCAGTTGTGAACACTTTTAGCAACTCTTGGTACAGTCTCACAAGATTTCTTTTTATTCTTTTTGCTCTCTATTAAGAAAGCCCTTTTTAAAAAAAATAATAATAATAATTAAGTTGTATCGTCTTGGAAAATATAACAGAAATTTTGAATGATCAATACTTTTTTACATTAACGGTTTATCTATTTCGGTAGACGCTTTCTTATTCAACTTTTGAACTATTAGCCTTAAAATATTTACGTTTTGTTTCTGCATTTTGGAACTTCTGTCTCACCTTATTAATTTATTCCATCTTGAGTTACTTCCAGATGGCCCAACCAGCAGAAAAGCATCAGTGCAAAGATACCGTGAAAAGCGGAAAGACAGGTATCTTCACTTAATTATAAGCTGTTTCTGACAATCTTATAGCTTTAAAAACAGCTATTTTGCTTTCCTATATGTTTCTCATACCCTTGTTAGGTGAAGGTTCAAGAACAAGAGAAAAGTACCAATGCCTTCATCTGCTGGTTTGGATGTCTATTTCAACCATTTGATTGGAGATGAGATCTCAAATGAGCAGCTGAACCAAAGTGGTGGCTGCTCTACTCCCAAATCCAGACCACCTAACATGCCCATTGGTTGCGGCTTGGTTGAAAATTTTTCGTTTGTTTCCAATCACTCTGCTAATTTCAATGACAAAGGTGACAAAAACTTTTATCTCTCTGCAACTATTAGATTAGTTAAATACAAAATTATGCAGGTCAATTATTATAATATACTCATAACTCCTACCTCACCTGTGTAGAGGTAAAAATCTGCTCTCAAATGCTGACTACTGAAATTAAAAACCTGCCACCTGCTGCAACCCATCTTAGATATTCATAATGTGCTGATGGTTACCTCTTTTTTGCTACTGTTTTTTTTTTTTTCTCAATATTTTTCTTCTCTCCCTCTCTCTCTCTCTTTTGGACTAGGAAACAGAAATGAGTAGAGAAATAGGAGATTAAATTAGATCTTGATACAAATGATAGATGAGTAAGAAACTATATTTGCTCCCTTAAAGAGAAGTTTCCTGGTGTCACCAAAAAGGAGAAGATAAGAGAAGAGTGGCATCTGTTGAATGAATATTGAATATTATGTTTTTGTGTATTCTTTCATATTTGACTTTTGTATACATGCGCTTTTTTCATCTGGTAAAGCTCATTAGTACTTGTATCAGGAACTGGCAGGTTCCCTTCTAGTGTGAACCATATCTCGCAAAGTTTGAAATTTTTATGTTTACACTTTGGATCAAACTCCCTTAAATTTAACTAAATTCTGTTGTGGGAGTTAATTTTATTATCAGATGTGCAATGATAACTGGTAGACACTGAAGCTGGTCTTAACTTCCCCTTAGGTATGCTTTAGATGTGGCTTCTCTTTGACTAGTCTTCCTGGTTGGTCATGAACTAAAATATTCGGGACCAACTTAAGAGCTGTTAAACATATGGCGAAAATCAATGTGATAGTTTGTAGAAATGTGGAAATGCAAAATGATGATGATGATTAAATTACCTATTCCTTGATGTAATTCTGTGCCTGCGAAATGTTTCTGGAACTGAGAAGTTTGTTAGCACCAAGGTGATCATTTTGTCAGCTTTTGAAATTCTTTGGATGTATCAAGTTTGCCAATTTGCCATGACAGACAATTTATCACCTCTTTATATTACATTTTTGTGATTGCGATGTGACTTTGTAATCGGAATGGATGATTTCTTATTGTTTGCAGATGTTCAGGAATGTTGAGTATAGAGCGGACGGATCTACTGTGACATCGTTGCTGGCAGAGAGTTGTTTGGAGCCTGGGCATATTTATCCTAGTTAACCATATGGTAAGTACGTAGATGCATTATGTAGCCTTCCTCGGTTGCTTCAAGTACATTTTGAATTGGATGAGAAAGAAGATCACAGTTTCTGCATGCCATTTCCGTTTTGATGTGCATGAAATAAATGATCATAATTCCAAAGGCTTAAAAAAGAGGATTGTTGTCAGTTGTCACCGGAGTTAATAGCTTATTTTTAACTAAACTTAAGCATCCAAACCTGCGGGTTTGAGACAGTGCAAAATCACCTCTAGCACATACCCTTTTATGTGAAATTAGAACCCATTGATTTTGCCATTGTGTTTACATGTAATCTAATGTGCTTACGTTGTCTAATGCAATCCTGATATCTGTTAAACCTTGACAAGTTTGCCAGCATCTGCAAACTTATAACTTTTGTCGCGTCTCACGACATTGAAATTAGAGCAAATATCGTTTGTGTCATGCATTGAAGCAAACATATCAGTTACCATATCTGCAAACCCCAACAGAAGACAATAAAGCCCGGGAGCGGGCCTGCTGGGCCCAAATCCATTATAGCCTCGAACAGTTGTTCAAATCAACCACTATAAGCTACTATTATGGATGCTTGGTTGCGTATAGATGTTCCTTAGTTGATTAAGAAAGGTACCTGAATCCCCAGTCCAAACCAAACCCACTACACAGCTTTCAGGATTTGCATATTTCTCAAGCATGACAGAGACCAATAATATTTTCTGAATTATGCCCACGATTCCACTGGTCCCCTATTCTTCGCCCTCTTCATAACCCACCACGTGACAGAATTTTTTTAATTATTATTCTTCTCTTTAATCTCTACATTCTCTACATCATTTGATGTTGTGATTTTTTTTTTTCTAGTAAATTTTGCCATTAGTACTACTCCATTATGGGTGAATCAAGTAGGAATGAAAAAAGTTGTAGTTTATAAAGGTTTTGATTTTGACTTAGATTTAACCCTGAGAGTGCGTTTGGTTTAAGGAATGTTGTATAATGGGGAATATTATATTAATGAAAAAATAGATTACTTTGAAGATTATTGGGAATGTTTAGCGAAATGTGTTTAGTTAGGTTGGAATAAATTGGTGAGTATGTTATATTGATATGTTTGGTTGGAAGAAATAAATTTGTGGGTATGTTTATAGATTACTAAATTACTCTTTTTTTTTAAATATTAATATATTATTATTTTGAACTATTTTTTTTAACCTCCTACATTTGAGATTTTGTTAAAACACCTTAGTCACATAAAAGTTTAATTTTTGACAAAAACACCCTCACCCACCCAAGCCATTGTTGGTTGCCTAAACCACTGCTGGTCATTGATCGGGAAGTGCAATGAAGATGTTCTTTAAGGGGTTTTGAAAAGGAGGTGAAAGGAAGTTGATCAATGCAAGTGGGGGTGATTTTCGGTGGAAAACGCGATCGAAAAAGCATCGAGAAAATGAGAAATCGCACGGAAAAGTAATGGGCATTGCTGACGATTGAGGGCAGCTTCGATGATGGGGTTTGGTGGGATTTGAAGAGGAAAATGAGAGAAGTAAGGTGGCGGTGGTTGGGGCCGATGGTGATGCTGGAATTAGCCTAGATCAGGCTTAATATCGACGGTTGCGTAGAGAAAAAAGTCCAGATTCGACCAAAAAAACCTGGTTCCATGGTCGTGCGGCCGTTTCTGACCACCGTCAGTCAAATCTGGTCGGTCATGCGTTGTTCCGATGACTTTGGCTGACAGTGGTGGTTGGCTGTTGGCAGTCTTTTTGGGTGGCTCGTAAATTGTTTTTAAAATAAAGGTATTACTATCCAAGGGCATTATTGTCGAAAAAAACTTAATAGTTAAGGGTAAAATTGTAACAAAATTAAGATTACCAACAAATTTTAAAATAATTAAGAAAATAGAGGTATTCAGATTATCACATATATAACCAATAGTAATTACTATTGATTTTGAAAAATTAGCAAAATCTTATATTATTTGACAACATAACATAATAACTCCTGACCAGCCACCTAATATTCATGGGTCTGTTTATTGTTATTTTGGATAGGATTTTAGGAATAATATTGGCTAGTTGAATTGGGTGAGTATTACGAGGTAAAATTTAAAAATTCACAAAAAACCCCTTAGGTTTGCTAATTTAACTAAACACCCCAATATATAAAATTTTTGTAAAATGACAAAAATACCCCCACCCACCCACAGTGCCAGATTCTGGCCACCACCGTTAGAATCTAGTCGGAAAATGGTGTTACAATGCAAACCGGTCTAATTTGGTCGGTCGTGCGTCGATATGGCTTTTTCCGGCTAGATCCACAACTGATCTGGTCGGAAAAGATCAGATCTGGCCTTCAACGGTCGCAAAAGGCCAGATTTAACTGTCGTTGTCGGTCAACGATGGCCCTTTCTTTGGTCATTGCTAGCGGCTAGATTTGGCCTTTTTGCAGAAAAAGTCAGATCGGTGAATTACTGGTCATTTTCGATCGTTTGTACGTCGTTGTGACAGATTTTGGCAACCACCAACGGTGGTTGTTGGAATCTAACAATTATGGATGGGTGGAGGTGTTTTTGTTAATTTTTAAATATTTTTTTAGCGGGTGTTTAATTAATTAATAAACTTGAAGAGTTTAAAAGTAATTAAAAAAATAGAATAGTATTTATCAAATAATCAATTTTTATTAATTTCATAAACTCTAAAATCAAAAGTAAAAGATTGAGTATTCATCTTTGATTCATACATTAAAATTTTCAAAACATTTATACCTAAATTTTTTTAAATGAAATATAGTTTTTTTTTTTTTAAATAAATAATTGGGTAAACCTAGTAATTACTTCTTCTTTCAAATACAAGATTTTTGGATACGGTTAATTCTGAATGATTAGAGGGTTTATTATTTGAATACAAAGTGAGAGAAAATATAATTATTAAGTCTTTAGTATGTTATTTTTGTTACAAATAATGTTATATTAATATAGTCAAATCTTCTTATACATGTAAGAATCAAAATTCGAGATTTACCTACTTTATGATTTTAAATAAAGATTTAATGCTCCTTTCAAATT